CTAACTTGAGCTCGTTTTTAAAGTTATCTTGAATTAAAATTGTTGCTTTGCAATTCATAAAGATTAATTACTTTAAACCCTGCTAGGTAAAACTTTTCTCTGATAAATTTCCATCCCTTTGTGAAAACGAGTCTTTTCTCTCGCTTTTTTAGGGTGAAAATAATCAGGCGTCTGACTTAATAATTCATTCATTATTCGTCGCCTGCGACATCATTTTTCAATTTCTCCACCCAACACTAAACATAATTCGACCAGAAATTTGTGCTTAAACCGCCCATCCCTCTTACAGTGGAGAACATTCATCAATTAGTGGTAGTCGCCTGATGGCAGCTTCTCTCGTGGTTTTTGTATTGTATTTTTGTTCACACCTTAATTTACTAGATGGATAACTAGAAGATTAGGTAAACATTTAATTTCACTTTTATTAATAGGTTTGCTGTAATTAAATTAAATGGATTTGGTAGTCGGCTACATGTTTATTGATTATGTACTGAAAGTGAACGATGACACAAAAACAGCACGGCTTTAAAAAGTTCAACGATGATTCAACAGTTTTTAGCAGATAAATCTGAAGACGTTTTTCTAACTCTCACCCCAAGTACCATCTACTGCATAAAATTTTAGTCAAGTGGAGTGGATGTTAATCCTTTAGAACTTATATCTTAAGGATATCTTAGACTCTCTAAACATCTCTTTAAGTAGTTGAATGTAATTCGGTTTTCACATATGCAATTGTCTTGTAATCAGATATTACATAGTCTTTCTAGTAAACGGGATGAGTAGGAGAGGGCGCGGTTTGACATTAACATAAACTTTTCAAGTATTCTTGAAAATTTCAAAGGGAACGTATTATTATATTATCAAATAAGATGAAAAAGTGAAAACCACATTTTGATATCTGTTTCCTAAGTACTTACAGATATGGCTAAAACACGCACATTCAATAATTTAAATTGCATTATTTATCTATCTATTCAAGTTGGCTTTGAAACAAAAGAACACATATCAAGCGATAATTAAAATTAACACTCCGTATACGTTTTTAAATCTTAAGCAACAAATAAATTATTTAAATTTTAAATCAGAGAAATAGAAATTAAATCTTAAATGAAACAATAATTATGACTAACATATAAATATTCAAAATTTCTTTCTTTCATTTTCGATAAAAATACCGAGTAGTTTTTTGCATGGCAGTGGGTTTCTTTTGTTTCAAAGCCAACTTGGATGAATATGCAATTTGAATTTGTAAAAGTGCGTATTTTCGCCATATCTCTGCTTAGGAATCAGATATGACAATGGGGTTTTGACTGATAGTTCCACATGTTCATCTTATTTGATAATATATAATAATTGTACTGTTCCATTTGACATTTTCAAGAAAACCTGCAAAGTTTATGTTAATGTGAAACCGCGCCCTTAAAGAGACTCTATTAATATAACATCTGATTACACCAAAAAGCTCTTTCCCAATGAGACCAATTATGTGAAAATCGGTTAACCTAGGTAAACCTCCCCACCTCTCATATTTTCTGACCTAGCGCAATATGTGTTGCATCAAAATGATGCAAAATTTAATCAAGATTGCGATGAGGGTATTTTTTATGTATGTTGGTTGGGTATATTTTAGGAAAAAAATCATTTTTCTACTCAACCATGAATTGTGTGACCTCGAGCGGCAAACCTACAAAATTGAAAACCATTTCCAGCGATTTGACTTAATCTCTTTTGTTAACAAAATCTTTTTCCCCAAACTGTGCAACTAACCGTTCCATATACAGTGTGTCCCAGATCGCGTGGGATTGCATGGGTATCTTTGTTATTATTAAAGATAGAGAATTGGTTAACTGGGCAATGTTTTGCAGTTTTGGATGCTTATTTAAAATTTCCTTATGGAAATTCAAAATGTCGCATAGGTTCGACGTAAATTCAAAAAAACTAAAATTGGTCATTTCCTTGAATGTCTTATATCATCGAAAGTATAAGAGATATAAAAAAAGTTTTATATAAAAGTAACTGTCTTTGATACGCTTAATTTAGAATTGATGTCAAAAAAAAATTTGAGATGGCCACTTTTGAGGAACATTTACCAACTTCCTAAAGTTAAATGGGCGCCATATTGGATTTTTTAATTCTCTTTTCAACGAGCCATCATAACATAAGATTGAAAATAAGATACCAGTTATATTAACTGTTTTTATATTTTAATCAAGTAGGCTGCGATGAATTAAAAAAAAACAAAACAAAATCTATTCGAGCCAATAAAACAATGAAAATAATTACATCAGTGAAGAAAGGGTTAGTTTATGCTACCTACCAACAAGCTGGATGCTCAGGTCACAATTCACGAATTATGTACAGTACATTAAATTATAAAAGTAAGTACTTAATTAAAAAATAAAAGTAAAGTGGAAGTAGCTACCACTACAATAATAATAATAATCATCAATGGCAACACGTTGCCTAAACTAAACTGTCTTGAAGTGTGTTTCACTAATAATGGCCAGTATTTTAAACATCTGGCGTAATTATTTTCATTGTTTTGTTGCCTCGAATAGATTTTGTTTTGTTTTTTTATTCGTCACAGACTACTTGATTAAAATACAAAAACAGTTAATATAACTGGTATCTTATTTTCAATCTTATGTTATGATGGCTCGTTGAAAAGAGAATTAAAAAATCTATCGAGTAATCTAAAAATCCAATATGGCGCCCATTTAACTTTAGGAAGTTGGTAAATGTTCCTCAAAAGTGGTCATCTTAAATTTTTTTTGACATCAATTCTAAATTAAGCGTATCAAAGACAGTCACTTTTATATAAAACTTTTTTTTATATCTCTTATACTTTCGATGATATAAGACATTCAAGGAAATGACCAATTTTAGTTTTTTTGAATTTACGTCGAACCTATGCGACATTTTGAATTTCCATAAGGAAATTTTAAATAAGCATCCAAAACTGCAAAACATTGCCCATTTAACCAATTCTCTATCTTTAATAATAACAAAGTTACCCATGCAATCCCACGCGATCTGGGACACACTGTATATGGCCTGCGACCTTTATTAATAGGGCACCCTGTACCTACATGGTCCAAATTGCACACGTTCTTGTGTAAACACCTTTTATTTTAGAAGATAGGAAAATGGACCTGGGTGTTAGGAGTTCAATTTTAAAGAGAAAACCACTGGCACACACAAAATTCATCTCTAATCCGGGGGTATTTTTCGAATTTAGTCGATTTCTTTAATGCGCCAAAACTTTTTTATTATCAAAGATAATTGATTTTGGCAAAGTCTTTCTTAAGACACTTTTTTATGTAGAATCCATCCCGATTCACAGTTTTTATACAGGGTGTTTGGTTTTTCATATACGACCCTACAGTATATACCACCATATACAGAGTGTAGAAACGGTTTACGGGATTGGTAATTTCTTTATTTCCAAATATTTTCTCCCCTAATTAATTTAGAGCAAAGTTGTAAATAGATTCTGCGTCTGCTCATGTCCTCATTTATTATTGTTCAATTCGGGAAACCGAAAAAAATTAGAATTTAGTATTTACCTAAAAATCGAATTTTTGTTTCAATAATTAGATTTATAAATATAATTTTAATTTACACTTCTTAATTTCTCCGATTTCCCACAATCAAAAAATGAGCACATGAGTAGACACAGAATTTTACAATCTACAAAAAAATGTCTTTACAACTTTGCGGTAAAATAATTAGGGGAGAAAATATTTCAGTTTAAAGGAATTACCATTGAAATTCGTATATGGTGAGTAAACCGTTTCTATGCTCTGTATCTTTTTGAATTTTTGAAAATACCGTAAAATTTCTTAAATTTTGATGCATCGCTTGTTATATTTACATTAAATATTATTTGCAATATTGGTTTTTATACATTAAAATATTTCTACTGCAGACATCTCGGTTACCATGGCGAACAAAGATACTAGAGACATAGGATTGTTTAAAATGACAATTTCTTTGTTATTTGTAAATTTTTATTCGTTCCAATTATTGTTAATTTCAAATAACACAAAAAACAAAGGTCATGAAAACTCATGTCAATAAAACAAATAAATAATATAATATATAAATAAATAATGCAGATAATCAAGAAATTGTCGTTTTAAACAATCCTGCTGTATTTTATTTACCATGGAAATCTAGATGTATGCAATAAAAATATTTTAATGTATAAAATACAAAATATAATATTTAATATAAATACAATAAGTGATACATCAAAAATTAGGAAATATTGCACTCTTTTCAAAAAGTCCAAAATATATAGAATGGTCCATATGAAAAAATGTAGTTTAGGGTAGTATAAGAAAAACTAAACAAGTGACCAACTTGGACCACCCTGTACAAGTATAAATTATGTATATGTGAATTATGTACGATTTTGAATCCTACGGGTATGCGGAAACGGGAACTTCCTACTCGCTCCTGTCATGGAATAAAAAATCCTGTCCCATTTATGACCATGGGTCCCATATAAGGGTTACTATGCTGGAAAATTGCTGTTTTAGCAACATTTTTTAGTCTCACACGGTGCAAAAACACTAAATTAACCAGTACGTTGCCTCTAATGTTGAATTCCCGTTGACTATTAAGTGTCAGTAGATGTTCTGTTGATCTACATGTGTACTCCCTTTTTTTAAATTTTGGAGGCAGTTTTAAACTTTGAAATAGTAATTCGATGTACGTTGAACAACAATCGCCTAAGGTACACTGACATACCGCACTAGATACCTAGATAACGCTACTTTTCCTACGTCTACCTATTAGTAAAATCTCTACTTGAATTCAACAACTAATAAATCTATTCTGCGTCATTGAGGAACGGCAATTTTAGCGTTAGGAAGGTAAGTTAAAAACTGTAAAAGTGCCTATAACATTTTTTTTTAGAAAAGCGAAAACATGCACATGCAGTGAGTTAGTAAGCGAGAGCAGGGTAGGAGTTTAGCTAATAATGTTAGGCTTACCAAGGGACTGGCCAGAATTATGCCTATCCTGCTGAGAACAGCGGGCAGTCGCTGCAACATGACAGATCAAACAAGGTACAACCTTATGAGCCATTGATATTAAGCTTAGGGGACTTGCCCGCACACCCTTAATTTTATCACCTAATGTAACATGCTTATTAATTAATTAATAATAAAGTGTATTTGCATTATACTTCAGTAGTTGAGAAAAGAAAACATTTAATAAGGATTCACGGAGCCTATCGATTTAGGGATCTCAATTGTATTACCGCGCGGTTATTCTGAAAGCACATTGAATTCCAGACGTTCACAGAACATTAACAAACGCATGCAAGTAATTAGAACTGGGAAGAAATATGAGACGATTCGGTATTGGGAAGAGGAATGCGTATGTTATGTACAAATTGCGAGAATACAAACTCAAAACGACACAAAATACTGAAAAACCCACATAGGCCGAGATGAATAAGTATAATTAACATAAAAATTTATGTGATACAATAAGGGTATATTACAAATGTATGCAGGGTCCTACGTTTATGTTGTAGAAACAAAAGTACGGCGATAGGGGGGACCAAAACACGTTTTTCAAATAAACCGACGAACGCACTTTCGTTGCCCTTAAAGTCCCCTTTTTTAAATTTATTATTTATCAATACGGGCGACACGTCTTTGGATAGGATATAGGGCCTTTGCTAAAGTTTTTCCGATATTCCCAAGCCAAGATGACGAACCCTTAAACGGAAGCAAGGAAAATTCGGTAGTTCGCTTTGAAAATTGATATACATGTTCTTAAGGGTATAAGAGACGTCGCTATTGTTTTTCAGCTACGTAGACCAACGGGCCACAAAGTTACAGTTAAAAAACTGCCCAAACCTCCAAAAAAGGAGTTCTTTTATAACTCTTGTTACAAAGAACGTATTAATGCCCGGTTTTCTGTGATAGTAAATATTCCTTAAACCTCAGACAGATGAAAAAATATTGCGCATGCGCATTCCAACTTTTGTATTTGCGCAATCCCAATTTTCTTATTTGTTAAGATATTTAAATGAAATTTTGTATCCGAATCAAAAAATTTGTTTTACAAGCCATGCTGATCTGGTAGGACAGAAACAACCCCGTAAGGTGTATTGTAAAAATGATGTATCTGTGAAGAGAGTATCGTTGGGTATTCGGTTGTATCGGATTAATTTATTTTAAAGCCAACAAAAAGGCATACCCTATATCTTATCCTTCTTGAAACGTTTTATAGCTCTCGAAAAACGAATCTAATAGGGAATGCTACGATTTTAAGGGTAGATTTCAAATTAAACATTTGCAACCCTCGACTTGTTTGGAAAAATCTTTGTTTTTGTTCCCTCTATCGCCAGATTTTTGGCATAACTCGACTTATCATCCTCTAGAACTAAGAACTTCCGACTTTTGGGATAAAGAGAGACAATGAGATTAGGTAACTTGTGTATGAATTTTCAAGTGAAAATTAAAAATTAATAAAAACCGCGTACGTTCTATGCCTTTGTAAGGCGATAGTGCACATGTTTTTTTAGGCCAGGAAACGAAGAGCAAAAAATTCCTCAATTCGGAAGTAAATGGTGTTGAACAGATTATTATTTCAAGTTCCAGGGTTGACTCTTAGAAATATCATACCAAAAGACCGTGGACCTTTTGCATTAGGCGGGAGGGGAGTTGAAGGGGTCGGTTTTTAGGCTTTTCCTAATTATTTCAATAACTAAATACCGCAGCGAATAGGTCACTCTAACTTAAATTGTCTACAAAAATTCATTTTTGCTCTAGAAGCAATAGTAAAGTAGGGTGTATGATACTTTTGAAATGTCGAAAGTATGAAAAACCATGTTTTCTGTTGAAAGTTCATGTCAATTGATTATATCACCTAATTTCAACGAAAAATGAAAGTTTTATTGATTCGAGTTAACTCCTCCACGATTAGGTGTCTATTGGAAATCAATAAGTAACCTATAATTACTTAAAAAAATGTGCTATTGTTGTGATCTCAGATTTTACCCAAAATCAGTTGAATCTCGGTTTTGAAGCAATTCACCACGTTTCTCCTGAAGCACTAGAATGGTTAAAACAGCCTTAAAAGATAAATTTGTCCTGGCAGGATTTTCTTATATTTAATTTGAAGTGTACAATATGCATACGAATTATACAGGGTGAGTTTTTTCCGATGTTTAGTACGGGGATCTCGTAAACGGTAAGAGATACAAAGTCGCTTAAATGGGAAAAGAATTTCATGTAGATTAAGGGTTCCTTTCAGAGTTTCTTGTAACTGTACAAATAACGAAGTTATAGGCAAAAAACCGAAAAGTGTCATTTTCGAAAATGCCCTGGCGTTTATTCGTTTGTAAAGATATCAATAGTTTTAACAAATCCTTAGTACATTTTTCTCAGGTTTCTAATGGTGCTAATTTTTTAATCACTTGTGTGTTTCGAGTAAATCACCTTTCTTAATCAACTTTCCTATTTCTTATGGATTTTTATGTCATTCGATAGAAAAAAAGTTATACTAAACACTAGTGTTTCCCAGAGCTGGGCAGTATTCGATTTTGTAAATACTTTTTAGTATTCAAATCGTTTAAAGTATTCAAATACTTTGTAATTAAATACTTTTATGGAAGCAGTATTTGTATTTGTAACTTAAATACTTTCACAAATATTTACTATTCGAATACTTCGCATAGTATGTATTTGAATACTTAACCTTCCCTTTTTACCAAAAATCGACTACTCCAAAATTTCTCGGGAAAACACTTTATTTTATTAATTTTGGTGCGTAGAATCCAAATCAATTCGTACTTTTTCGATCAGACTTCTCAATCAAAGTTATAGACTAGAAACCAATTTCGAAAGAAAATTCAAAGGGCTGTAACTTTTGAACTAGTAGACCAATCTTAGAACTGTTTGCAATTATGGATTCTGCAGGCCACATTTTATAAGAAATTTTTTTTTCCGGATCGTTCTGAGACAATTTTTTTATCGGGCCTCAAAAAAGGCAGTGTACAAACTTCCTTTTTTACCAAAAATCGACTACACCAAAATTCCTGGGGAAAACACTTTCTTATTAATTTTGGTGCGTAGAATCCAAATCAATTCGTACTTTTTCGATCAGACTTCTCAATCAAAAGTTATAGACTAGAAACCAATTTCGAAGAAAAATTCAAAGGGCTGTAACTTTTGAACTAGTAGCCCAATCTTGGAACTGTTTGAAATTATGGATTCTACAGGCCACATTCTATAAGAAAATTTTTTTTCCGAGTCGATCTGAGACAATTTTTTTTTCGGGCCTCAAAAAAAGGCAGTGTATAACCTTCCTTTTTTACCAAAAATCGACTACACCAAAATTTCTCGGGAAAACACTTTTTCTTATTAATTTTGGTGCGTAGAATCCAAAACAATTCGTACTTTTTCGATCAGACTTCTCAATCAAAAGTTATAGACTAGAAACCAATTTCGAAAGAAAATTCAAAGGGCTGTAACTTTTGAACTAGTAGCCCAATCTTGGAACTGTTTGAAATTATTACTTTTACTCCCCTTAAATTTGTATATAACAATAGAAATATAAAAAAGCTAACCCCATACAAAGTATAACTTGATTTTTTAAGTAGTATTAAGACTTTTATCTAGTATACTATTTTACATTTTTAATGTATTTGAGTGACAAGTATTTGAATACTTTTTACTGTATTCGAATACTTTTCAAAGTAAGATAATGAAATATTTCAAAGTATTCGAATACTTTTTATAGTGTTCAAATACCTTTGATAGTAGCAAAGAGTAACCATAATACTCTTTGGTATTAGAATACTTTTGAAAGTATTCGAATACATTCTAAAGTATTTGAATACTTATTTTTTTAAGTATTTGAATACTTTTCAATGTATCTGTATCTAGTATTCGCTTGTGCTGGACGTAAAAGTATTTAGTATTCAAATACCTTTTGAAAGTATTTTGCCCAGCTCTGGTGTTTCCTTTGGAAATCAATCTTGCATTTTTGCCTCGAAGTTTACAATGCATTTCTTATGGCAAAGATTCCATGACCTTGTCGATGGTCATTATGAAAGACAATAAATTAATGAATTTCATTTTAATCACAATCGGCTCGATTAGAATATTTTTTCTAGACAATTTAATGTAATTTTATTTTGTATAGAATGATCTTTGCGCTAGGATGCCTAGTTTTCGAGATAATAACGAAAAACCGAAAAAACCGACCCTCACCCGCCTTCCGCCTAAAGCAAAAGATTCACGGCTGGGGAGTTTTGGTTAAGGGATAACCCTACAACTTCTTGTCTTCTTTTCTTGGTGTATTTCAACGAGCACTTGCTTTGCGAGGAATGGCGATAATACTCTATAAATCTTGATTTTGTAGCCAGGGAGTTAAATTGCAGCTTAGATTTGTGAATTGCATCTGCATATAGCTTTATTAAAAATTACACGGGGTCCAAAACTAAACCCTTTGTGAACATTTTCCGGGGAAAAAAACTACAGGCTTGGCATATTTTTTGACTTTTTTCGATTTTTAAATGTATTTGCATATTTAGTTCCTAACAGCAATTGTTCAAACACTTAAAAAAAAAGTACAGAAAGAGTAAGATTCAGTAATGCCGTTATTCAATGGTAATGCACAACTTTTATCCATCCTAAAGAAAATCAAACCGTTATTTATGATTTCTGAAAACCGCACGTCTTCTTTATACCAGCCCAGAGCAAAATGGAGAATATGCCATTTAGAGGCCATTCGCCAAGGTAATTTTTTAATTATTTACCAACAAAAAACATTTACTAAACAACGTGAGATCTTTTGTATGGTGCATAGAAGAGATAAAACGAAGACACCTGCGCTAATTTTGACGGATAATAATTTAGGAATGAAGTTTGTGATGAAGTGAACATTTTCCGATTCAAAATCCAACTGACCTTGTATTGTAAAGAAACGGGAAAACTTGGAGGGATATTTCCTTTTGGGTGTAACATGAACACATCTTTGATCTTTCACTCTTTTATTCGATTTCTCTTTTGGAAATACTTAG